TTTATATACCCTAGAGATTAGTGCTCTATCTGGTGTATGAGGTATAAAGATTTTCTCCCAAGATGTAGGCTCTCTATTCACCTCACAGATTGTTTCTTTTCCTGAGAAGAAACTTTTTTAGTTTGAGTCCATCCCATTTATTGATTCTTGATTTTAATTCTTGTGCCACAGGAGCCTTATTAAGGAAGATGGGGCCTAATCCCACATGATGGAGATTAGGGCCTACTTTTTCTTCTATTAGACACAGGATCTCTGGTTTTATTCCTATATCCTGATCCATTTTGAGTTGAGTTTTGTGAGTGGTGAGAGATAGGGGTTTAATTTCATTTTGTTGCATATGGATTTCCAGTTTTCCCAGCACCATTTGTTGAAGAGGCTACCTTTTCTCCAATGCATGTTCTTGGCACTTTTGTCTAATATAAGATAATTGTAGTTTTGTGGGTTAGTCTCTGTGTCCTCTATTCTGTACCATTGGTCTACCAGTCTGTTTTGGGCACCCTATATTTTTATTTGCTAAAGCTGGCACAAGAATGGAGATGAGAAGGCTATTGTGGTTGCTCAGATGACAGATGAAAAATGTGGGAAAGTGAACACTGAGTGGAAGAGAAAGGACACAGGCCTGATGGGATGTGGAGGTTGGTTATTTTGGTAGAACAGAAGTAGAGGAGATTGAGGGAGTGGGGGAGTCAAAGTGGGTCAAACTTTCTGAACTGGGAAGGTGATGTTGCCTGTCTCTGAGGGATGAGAGAGAAAGAGAGTAGATATGGGGGAAGGGAAGAATTTGATTTTGAAAACGATGAATTTCAAGTGTCAGTGACTCAGTCAGCTAAAATCATGTGAACAGGCAGTTAGATATAGGACCTGGAAGTCAAGAATGATTGGTTTGAGAATTCTGGTTTTCAAACTTGTGAGTTATCAGTGCATCTGCATCTGTCTTATCTACAGAAATGATCATATAGCAGGTGTATGGCAGAGTGAAAAAGGTTATCTGGACAGACCTTATGATAATTCTGATATTTGAAGAGCAAGAAAAGGGAAGAGGAATAAAGAGAAAGAGAACCAAAAGAACGATGTCATCGAAGAAAAGGAAAGAAAGTTTAGAAAGCAGTGGCTTCCCTTGCAGGCAGTGAGAAGGACCAGATAACAGGCAAACATCCTGGTTAAGTAACACCTAGATGTGTCAGATAAAATATCATGAACATGCTTTCAATGTTCAGTAAAACTTGCAACACTTCCTGGGCTCCACCCAGAAGGAGAGGGCTCAGAATCTGAGCTATGGCATCCCCAGGGAGTTTTTTATTCTTAGGACGAGGAGCTTAGTTTTCACAAAGGATCAGGAATGAGATATTGAAATTTTAAAAAAATCTAAAATGACCTAAAATATCCATTACTAGACAACTGTAAGAATAATCTGTAATGTACATGTGATGATATATTATTTAAATGCAGTTGTAATTAACTATGACTACATGTATCATGAATAAATCTCAAAAGTATTGTTGAAAAAGCCAAGAAAGTTTCAGAATCATACTACAGGAAATTAAAGGACAATGGTAATAGCACAAAAGAGTAAACAGTTAATAAAAGATGTAAACCATATTGATATAGTTGTGTTAGTGACGATTTCAAATGAAAAGACAAAGAAAAAAGGAGAATTATACAGAGGTTCTATGGCACTTATAATATTTTATTCTCTTAATAAAGGGAAAAGATAAGGTGTAATGTTAGGCTTTGTTCAAATTGTGTGGTTAGCATATAGTAAGCACCTGGGTTATATGTAAAATACCTGTTTACTCTGTCTGGCCTTCTATAATAAAATACCTTAGACTGAGTGGCTCATACACAGAAATTCATTCCTCACAGCGGTGGAGGCAAGTGGCAAGTCCAACATCAAGGTAGAGCCCTGTGAGTCTTGAGGGCTATTTCCTTATAACCAGCATCCTTCTCACTCTGACCTTAGATGGTGGAAGGAGCTAGAGGTCTGTCTCAGGCCTGAGGGAAAGGAAATAAAGGAAAGGGAACAATAATGAATTTAAAGTGTTGGGGACTTAGTCAGTAATCCCAATTATAAGGTCTCTACCTCTTGACCTTTCAAGTGGTCTACCTTCTAATACCATCACCTTGGGAGTCACGGTTCCAACATATGAATTTGGTGGGTGACACAATTTTCAAACCATAACAATACATCAATATACTGTTTTAATGAGCAAGAGAAGAAATAGATAATTTAACAGCTATAGAAACCAAAGGGGAATGCAGGATCGCAGAGTATAAGTGTGTACAAGGGTGCACAGAAAGCATGGGTGCACAGAAAGCATGTGTGCACATGTGTGTATCTGTGTGTGGGTGTGTGGATGTGTGTGTGTATGCTGGAAGAGGCTGAGGGTGTTTTGGTAAGTTGTGTAGAACCCCTCCTATGAGTAGGCATGAATGAAAAAAGAAATATGGCCCTAATTTTCTATGTCAACTAAGAGAGCAAAGCCAGAGGGCTTATGTTATGGCAAATTTCAAGAATGAGTTTTGTGGATCATGGAAGAGGAAGTTGACTAAAGATAAGGCAAACAAACAAAAAAATGTAATCTTGAGTTGTGGGAAGTGAACTCACTAGGTGGTTGAGGTCAAATACTTTGTAATAGTACTGTATGTGTGTGTATCTATCATTTATCTATCTAATCAGTCTGCCTACCTACGCTTTTTAACACATCAGCAGTATTTCATATTTCCGGTTGGTGCTAATTCTTGTTGCAAGATTATAGAGACAAGTAGATATGGTGGAGTGGGAAGTAGTTACAAGATATCATTGAGGTGATCAGGGACCAGAAACAAGTCACTTAGGTTTTGGTCAGCTTTGTCATCCATATGACCAAAAGACCTGACAAGAAGAACATACAGAAGGAAAAGTTTATTTGGGGAGCAAGGTTTCAGAGATCTCAGTTAATAGACAGCCAATTCCATTGCTCTGGGCTGAGGAGAAACAGAATATCATGGCAGAAGGGTGTGGTTGAGGAAAGCAGTTCAGGACATGGCAACCAGGAAGCAGAAAGAGCACTGCTCATCGGGGACAACAGATAAACCCCAAAGGCACACCCCCAATAACCTACTTCCTCCAGCCACACCCTCTCTGGCTACAGTTACCACCCAATTAATCCATACCAGTGAATTAATGCATGGATTATTTTAAGACTGTCATCACCCAATCATTTCACCTGCAAACTTCCTTGCATTGTCTTACACATGAGCCTTTAGGGACACCTCACATATAAACCATAACAGTTAGCCTAACTAAGTCTCAATGTCTTCCAAACTGGTTGTTTTGGGAGATTAAATGAAATGATACAATTCTAAGTGCTTCAGGATCTTAGTTTAATTATGATTTATTAAATAAAACATTCAGTCTTTCCAGAAAAATAAATTGTTAAAATTAATAAGTGGCAAGTAAAAACCAGGGCTAAATCAGGTACAGAGGATATGGTGTTATCTAAAATTATTTTAGTTATTTTAGGTAGTAAGTGGATTTTTGTGGGCAAAGTTTGGTTTCTTTTGTGTTTACTGTGGATGCCAGGGAATTGATGCTTCCTCCTCACCTGAGGAATTGGGCTTTTACTACCCATGTATGTGGGAGTGGCTGGGATGCTTTTAGTGTGTTCAAGGGACATTCTCTGATGAGCACAGTTGCTTCATGGTTAGACGAACAAGCTTTAGAACTAGCCCTAACACGTAACTTACTCTTCTTGTGGGAATAAGGATTAAAATGGCATCTGCCTTATCATAGGATTATGAGAATTAAGTAATTTGAGATTTTAAACCTGCCACACAATAAGTGCTAAGTTCTGCACCTCAAAAGCATTAGCTTTCATCAAGAACTGCAGTGAACTTTTACACCAAATGCTTGGTTTTGCTCTGCTTGCTTTGCAAAAGGCACAGTCTCTGCTGTTGTGGAATAATGGCTAACATTTGAGATGGGGGTGCAGAGTAGCAAGTGTTTGTATCATTTTATCTGAATCATAAGAATCCCAATGTGGGGTAGGGGGTAGGAAGGTTCATGGTAAAGTCCATGAAAAGATCTCTTTGCTCTCCCGGTGTTATTTATGGCCTCACTGGTTTGCTCTGCTCTCTTGGAAGGGCTTTTTGGTAGTTTCAACATTGCTAGAAAAACTATTAGTGCATACCGTTTTTCTCAGGGCAAGTATGTCTGAAAACTTAACAAAGATTTATTTTAAGTTTTGGCAATTTATATTGATGCAATTGTTGGCAAATGTTCAAAAATGTACCAGTGATATTTTTTGAGATGTTACTTAAAGTAATAGTCAAACATGAAGAACTACTTACATGTTTGATAATATTGAAGTGATTGATATGTTATGCTGCAATTCATAAGGAGCAAAATAAAGAAATTTCTATGTTTTAGAGGAAAAGTTCTTCATACATCATTAAGTAAAAAGTAAGTTACATCCAATATATGGAAGTGCACACCTATAATCCTAGCCACTGCTGGCTGAGGGAGGAGGACCACGTGTTCCAGGCCAGCCTAGGCAACTTAGTGAGACCCTGTCTCACAATAAAAAATGTAAACGACCTGGGGATGTATGCAGCTTAGTGGTAGAGCACCCCTGGGCTCAATCCCCAATACCACCAAAAACCTCCAAAAAAGTACAAAACTATGTAGAATTTTATTTATCTACTTTTAAAAAAAAATATGTTTGAGTAGAAAACATTTGTATCTGTATAAAATTATGAAAGGTAATTATCACTGGTCATAATTTACCTCTATTGTTTTTGTTTATGTATATTTTATAATTTTTTTGCAGTGATTATGAATGGAACATATAAAGGCAAAAAAGGAAAAAGTTGTTTTAAAGAAGAATTTCATCAGGTCAGCTAGTTCTGATATTTGGGGGGAAGGTTTCCATGCATTCCAAAGGGATACTGCAGAAGGATCATCGTGTTTTTCTTAACTCTGTGGAGAGGGCAAATGCCTGTGGCTTGAAGGCTGATGGTGTAAACAGGTGCTGAAAAGAGGCACAGTGGACATTTCTCACCTCCCTCCCCTTCCTCCCTACATCATTCTCTATGCAAAAAGAGGATATCTATTGCACAAGGTCAAAAGTTCTCTACTATCTAAGGTCTCTAGAGGAAAAAAAGGAGGGAACAATCCTTATCTTGACCTAGTAATCAAGGGTGAGCTCTCTAACCACAATGGCTCTTTTTTGCTTAACTCATTATCTTAGTTGAAAGAATATCCTTGGGTTACTCCCAACAGACAAATCTCAATGACCAGCATAGGAGTTTGGAGCTTTTGGCTAACAACTCATAGGGTGCTGCCAAAAGGGCTCCTGAGGTTGTTCTTGGGATTTTCTGGCAGATTTCCAAAGTCCAGAAATTTGAAAAAAAAAAAAAATCAAAACAACAGAAAACTACTAGGTCCTTTTTCCCTTGCTTGTTGGCTAGCCCAGAGCTCTTCTTCTAGGCTAAGGCTGAGACTATGGCTGTGGCCAAGAGTATGGCTGTGGCCATGGCTATGGGTAAATCAGGCCCACACCTGCAGCTTTTTGTTACCCCCAGTGGGATTTTCCTTTGGTTTTTAATGGCCAGACATCCTCGGTGCACAACCCATTTTCTACCTGGGATGTTCTTTTTTCTCCTTAGTATTCCCTAGATTGAGTTCAGGCACTCATGGACATGGGCCCAGCCTCTGTGGAAGAAATCTAAATTTCTCAGCAGAAACATGCACTTGAGTGTAAGTGAAGAGCTAGGGCTCCAGGCTTGAGTCACCTAAAAATTCTAGTCTTCAGTCTATGCCTTTGCAAAATGGGAATAAAAATTGCACCCCTGTCAAGAGAGGATCTCATTCAATCGTGAACTTAAGATAATGGGTCAGTATCTGTCATATGATTATCTAATAAAAATCAACATTAGCAGAAAACATCTTTTAAGGACTGAAGGATTCACATGGTTCTTGTTGGAGAGCCCGCGGAAGGGCTGATTGGCTGGATTTATGAGTAGAATCCACCTTGTTGGTGAATTTGATTCCCCACTGCTACCTCCATCCAAGCACGGTCATCTGGATTGTTACTGTTTCATCAAACACAGTGCCTTTCTACTCCTTAACCCCCAAGCGTAATTTATTTTTTACAGCAGTGCTATTTAATGAAGGAGATGTTTTAGATGTCTGTTTTCTTGAATAGCTCTTAAAATTATGCCTATGGGCTCTCTTTAGCCGCAGAACTTCAGATATACAGAATTTGCTAGAAAAACTAGTTATCAGGCAGAAAATGCTGTTTCTTATGCTGACAATTTTCCTGTAAGGGAAACACCATAAAGTACAGAATATTTAGTTTATTTGAGAACAGTAGGAAAAAAGGAGCTATTAAATACTAAAAATAACAGCAAGTCATTGAACCTACAGATCACTGTAGCCAGCAGCAGCTCACTGAAAGCCAGTTTCAAAATGCGATAGCTTTCAAAGAACCTTTTCATATACTTTCTGAAGTCTCCCTGAAAGGGCTCTTTTCTTCATGAACATTGCTATTAAGGAGGGCCTCTATAAACCAAAACTAACTAGGCATGGTTTTTAAGGGAATAGAAGCCTCATTCAGAAATGTTTATTGAACTGAAGTAATCGAACTGACTTTCCCATCCAGGCGTACCATTTTCTCCTCCTTGTTTCTAAAGCTAACCAGACATTTTAAAGTTCTGAGGTCCCCACTTTGGAAATCAGCAAACAGCTCCCATGACACATGGTAGCTTCATACTATGTCATCAGTGTACTTTTACGAGATTGGGCTGCAAGAAGTGACTTTTCAGGCTGCACTCTCTGTGAGTTTTTTTTTTGTTGTTGTTGTTGTTGTTGTTTTATGGTTTTTGTTTTTTAAGCAGTGTTAGTTGAACTCAGGGCAAGTCCTCTACCACTGAGCTGGACCTCAACTCCTCTATGTTTGTTCACATTACAAAGTAACCTGTAATCAGGGAAATGGTTTCTCCACCTAGACCTCTTAGTAAAACATTGACTGCTAAGAACAATGTGCTCCTTTTTTTTTTTTTTCTTCTGAAACCCACCAACCTGAACTGCTCAAACTTTCACAAACAATGAGGATCAAATAATAGACGAGCAGTCCTGCAGAGCTGGGAAAGGTGAGACTGGCCACCCAGAAGAGGGGATCCAGGGTGTTCCCACTATGCTTTGTATAGAAGTGTTATGTGTTTGCCTCAGATGTTGAGCGTTCACCTGCAGAGTTGGGTGTGCTTGAAAGCTCAATGTAAGGATTAAAAGAGATAATGTACTGGAGGAGCTCCTTCCTCCCGTCCTACCCCTCCTACCCCTCATGCAGCACCTTTTCTGCAGTGGAGGCAGCTATTATATAGTCCCTGAACCCTCTTTTCTTTCAGAGTTTTTCTTTTCAGTTGCTCTTCACAGGACAGAATGTCAGTACCCTCTCAGCATCTTTGCCATTGTCCTCAGCTTTTCTTGAGACTAGAATTGCTTCTTGGCTGGCTCACTGTACTAGAGATCTATCTTACATGCTTCACCAGGCATTGGTCAAGGACCTGCCACTTGACTGGTTAGTTGAGAAGACACCTACTTAGCATTCTGTGAACAGTTTTGTCAAATGTCTTTTTGTAGGACCAGCTGTGCCCTGACTACCCCATTGACTATTCAGTGTCTAACAAAAAGAACATGGAATCGTTTATCATGTAGGTGGGGATTTTTTATTTTTATTTTGTTTATTTTATTATTATTATTTTTTTAATTTGAAAGACATTCACTAAGTGTCTGGCACATGGTAGACACTCAGTAAGTGACTTTCAAACGATTTATACTTCACGAATTACAAAGGCTCCGGTTACTCCCTCTGGTTGTTTTTTAATGTATGTGTTTTAAAGCCAAGCTATGACTCGTGCAGTTTAGGAAACAGTAACCATAGCAGCTCCCCTGTCATCTTTTGTCTCTTAGCCCATATATCTCAGTTTGCTTTTCAAAAAGAATTGGAGATGGCTGAGCGGTCCTCTGAGCGATTTCCCCAGGGTAGTTCCTTTCTTACCTGTGGATGTGAACAAGTTTAGGCAACTCCTTTCTTTCACACTCTCACACATCTCCCTCTTCTGGATCCTCCAGTAATGTATATTCTACCACTTGTGGTCTAAAGTCCACTCTTCCTGAAAGAAGACTGAAAAGCAAAGTAGAATGCATTTTTATCTCAGCTTTTTTTTCTGTCATATGCCAATCTTACATTATTTGCCCCCAAGAAATGGGTCTGTCTGCTATTTTTTCTTACTTGGAGTCATTATTAATGAGACCAACTTGTTGCCATTAGTGTTCACGACTTGAAAAACTCTGGTGTTAAACAATTGCATCTTTCAGCTGCTAATACTTTCTAGTAACTGACAGAACTGCAGAGGTCCTCAACTAAGAACCCAGAAGAATTTATGTTATTGATGAGCTTTAATATTTTGAGTAATACCTGATGTCTCAAATTCATCATTTTTAGTATTTAAGGTATATTTGTTATTATGGACTATTGTTTAAAAACAACACAGCATTATATCTTTAATATAAACATATTATATCATCTATAAAACCTATGATGCTACATTAAGTGCTTCACATGTATTTCTTGCAATGATGCTGTTGTTTATATTTTTACAGTTGAGGAAACCAAAGCTTCAGAATAAGGGGTAACTCAAGTTCACTCAACTAGAAAGTGAAGAGCCAGTATTGGAACTCAGGTTTGCCTGCTCAAAGTCTGCACTCTTCCACTACATTACTCTGCCTTCAGATTTGCCTCCATCGTTTGAAAAATATTTAGGGAATGTATAATATATGCTGAGCATCATTCTAAGGGCTAAGGATACAAATTTCCAAAAAAGCTTCTTGCCAATATGGAGCTTAGATTGAAGTGGGAGAAGACAAAGTTATGATACAATTTTATATAAAATTATACACATGTTATAACTGGTGCCAAGGGTCAGAAGAGAAAGGAGAACCAAAGAGGGAACCAGGAATGTGGGTGCTGAGGGTAGGCCTCATTGGCAAGGTATAATCTGAACAAAGATTTGAAGAAGTGAGGGAAGGAAGAAACCAAGCAGATCTCTGGCCATTTCAGGCAGGTGAAGCTGCAGGAGCAAAGGCTCTGAGGCCAGCTTATGCCTGGCAAATCCCAGGAGCAGCAAGGAGACCAAGATAATGGAATAGAGAGGGAGCAGAGGATCAGGGAAGATGTAAAAGGCTGGCAATTTAGGTCATTGCAAAAATCCAGGCAAGATTTGATGCCACTTAGTATTAAGTTTATACAGATTTCAGTGGCATCAGGGAAGGGAGTGAGAAGAGGTCAGATTCTGTGTATGTTCCTAAGGCATGGCCACAAATTTACTGAGGGGTTGGATAGGAGGATTGAAGGAGCAAGAGAAGTCTAGATGACACCAAGGATTTTTCCTTGGTAACTGGAAGGATCAAAAGTTGACATCAACTAAAACAGAAAAGGATATCTTTAGGGGGAAGATAGGGCACTTAATTTTGACACTGAAGGTTAGATGTATATTAGACATTTAAATGGAACTGTAGAGTAACCAGTTGGATATTTACCAATTTATATGCATCCTAATATAGTTTATTGACACAAGTTCTTTACATTATAAATATCTTAAATTATTGGTAGCTTCTGATATCTTTTCTTTATAACCTGTATTAGCATATAATTATATCCATTGCTGTGATTTTTTTTTTGATTACCATCTGCTGCCAACAGCATCTCTTAGACTATACACTCCCTGAGGTCAGGCACCACCATTGTCACTCCTTTTGTCATTGTGTTTCTTCTGCCTAGCATCGTGCCTGGCAAGTGGTAGGTGCTCCTGAAACCTGCCAACCACACAGTAAATAATTTATTTATTTATAATATTTATTTATATTTATTTATTATTGTTTTTGTTCTAGGAATTAAACCCAGGGGCATTTTACCACTGAGCTACATTCCCAACTCTTTTTATTTATATTTTTTTAATTTTGAGACAGGGTCTTGTTAAGTTGCTTAGAGTCTCACTAAGTTGTTGAAGCTTGCCTTCAACTTACAATGTTCCTCTCTGAACCTCTGAGTTGGTGGGCTTACAAGTGTGTGTTAGTATGCCCAACTAAGAATGTATTTTTTTAATTAGCTGAGAGATGAAAATATGAAAATGTTTAGTCACAAAAAATTTCCCTTTTTAGTTTTCCCAATCCCATTACCATATTGTTTTACAAGAAATGTCCACCAACTTTAATTTAGTAATAGAAAGTGATTTTATCAGAAATTATGAGAGCTCAAAAAGATGGAGTCATCAGTATATGTGACTTTTATTACTTTTATAAAAAAGTAGATATATACTATATATGCATGCATGCATGTATACACACATCCTCACACACACACACACACACACACACACACACACACATATATATATATATTTCTCTTCCTATAGAGTATATCTGAAATAGCATGGTACACCAGTGGAAAACTGTATTTTCAATATATAAAAACTCACAAATACGTAATACAGGACCTTTCTAGAATGTTACAGACTAGTAAAGAGAAGGCCACATTTGTAAAAACTGTGGATTTAAGTAGATTGCATGGAAGCAAGAGAGCCAGGAAATGGTGGGATAAAAGTGGGTGGAGGATCTTGTGGCCAAAACCCTGGGAAGTGTGGATACCGAAATATGTCATTCTTCCCCATACCTAAATCTACAAATGCTCAAGTCCTTTGTATAAAAATGGAGTAGCATTTATGTACGAACTATGTGCATCTCCCATATAACTTTAATTTCTAGATTACTTATTATACCTAATACAATATAAATGCAATGTAGATCGTTGTTACACCATATTGTAATAATACAAGAAAAAGTATCTCTATGTGTTAAGCAATATTTTTTGGAATATTTTAAACCATGTTTGGAGAAATCTATGGATGCAGAGCCCTAAGATATGGAAGGTTGGCTATATTTGAGACCTCTGTATGCTGCTGAATAATCAGACCACAAGGAAAGCAAGCAATATGTCTTTGAACTGAGCACTGTCCCTAGGAGAGAGCTTTAGTGGAGTCTCAGGACCACATCTCCTTTATTATGTTGAGGAAAGGCAGGACCAAGACCTTTGGTGTGCATTCTGCTTCACTCATTGCTATGGAAACCCTTCTGTGTTTCTCATCATGAGATGAGGAAGAGACAACCAGGAAGAGACAAACTCAGTGGCCTAACCACCCATGTTGTAACCCAGAGAGCATTTCAGTTCACTTGGCATATTTCCATGATTTTTCCCTAAGCACAAGTTCTGAACTCTTTGGTTGAGCCTGGACTCAGATATGGAAAAAGTAAACTAATGTGTCTGACTATTTTTACAAGGCTTTCAAGCCAATTGGTGAGCCTGTAAACTCTGAACAAGTCAAGATTTCATACAGCTTTTCTGATCTTTAACCAGTCCTCTGAAGAGAGCATACAAACTAGAAAAGAGGGGGCCCTCATCCAAGGGGAAAAAAAAAAGTCCATCAGGGAATAAATCAGATGTAATACAAGTCACAAGATCGATCTAATGATAACCATCTGCTTATCACGTCTTACTATTTGACTACATTGAACCAATGTTCTCCATGCTTCCCTCTGCAAAATAGATGGAAATGTGAGTCTTATTTAGCAGGTGCATGTAGTGACACACAGCAGTGCTCAGGAAATGTGGACAAATTTCTTAAACTTTTCCATTTCTTAAATTTTCCATTTATAAAATGGACTAGTGGTAGAATACCTCAGAATTTTTATTGTGTTAATGCATAAAAAGGGTTAGTGTATGCTCCTCACAGTATCTGACACAGAATATGTGAAGTTAGAATCCAGAGTCCATAAATTCCTAGACTCTGCTGAGTGCTTCCTGCCTTTGGATTCAATCCGAATGACTTTGGTTTATTCTTAAAAGTCTCCTCTTTATTCAAATATTATAGTGACATATAGATACTGTGAAATGTAATATAAAATAGATTAAAATAGTTTGAGGCAGAGAGTATCTGGCAGGATAGAAAAGTATTACCTCACTATCAAAGTATTACTATTGCATGGAGAAACACACATTTATTCAGTTTAGGAACAAATATAACTGATCCTAGGCATCAGGAACACTCTGTAATGGATGCAAATTGTACTGTGATTTCATAATACATCTCCCATCTTCTGCAGGTCATTATCTTATCTTGATACTCTTAATGACATGATAGAAAATGCCTATTCCTCTGATAGTAAATTCTACTATATATTTTCTCTGCCCTTGAGTTGATTGGCTGAAAAATCAACAGCAAACAAATCCCCCCTAAAACTATATCTCTGTAGCAACTGAGAGCAAACACAATTTCAGATACAAACTTATCAGTGCAACTTCTATTGAGGAAACCAAGAAATACGTCGTCTTAAATTGGCAGAGGCTTCATACAGGGCAGAACATCTAGAGGCATACAGGGAGTCCTCTGACTTCTCTCAGAAAAGAGGGGCACCAAGTTTTCGTGGCTTCCTAGATGAGAGTCTTTGTAGAGCTCCACATTGGTGGGACTTGGGGCAGTAGTTAGGGGGATGGTGGGATTGTTTCTTACTTCACTTAGAACATCTTCCAAGGCCTGGCCTCTACCTCCTTCCCCTCATCTGCCCTCACGCTCTCACCTCCCTGACCCTACCACTGACTGTTCCAGCATCACTGGCCTCCTGAACATTCTCCCCAAACAGGTCAGGCAGTCTCCAGCCTAAGGTCTGTGCACTTGCTGTGTTCCTCTTTCTGCATCCCTCTTCCCTCAGAACCATCTCCCTCCCCTCCTTCAAGTCTTTAATGTTACTTTCTCAGTGAGGCCTCCCCTGGCTATCATGGTTACAATTGCAAATACCTCCCCCTAACCCTCCTTCTCTCCTTCCCCACTTTATTTTTCCCCATAGAATTTATCACCTGCTAAAAGGCTATGTGTTGGATTTATTTATTTTCCTTATTATCTGCCTATTCCTCTGATCATAAATTCTCCTGTATATTTTCTCTGCCCTTGAATTAATTGGTTAAAAAGTCAACAGCAAACAAATCCCCCCAAACCTATATCTCTGTAGCAACTGAGAGAAAACAGAATTTCGGATACAAACTTATCAGTGCATCTTCTATTGAGGAAACCAAGAAATATGTTGCCTTAAATTGGCAGAGGCTATATTCACACCTCTGCCCACACACACACCACTAAACTCTAACGACAGGAAGGCAGGGATTTGTGTCTCTTTTGGTCACTGCAAGGTTCCCAGTGCCAGCCATACAGTAAGCTCCCATTGTCTTTCTACCTGATACATAGATACATACATAGATGGAAATGAGCATAAAGCCTTGTCAGTGGTAGTGGACAGTAGAATACTGAGGGACTGGGAGGATCAGATGGGCTCAGCAAGAGGAAGCCTATTTCTGATCTGCTAGCTCTTAACCAGAAGCTCTAAATTGGAGGTAGATTGGACTCTTGGTGCAGCCTTCTGTGTACAAAATAACAGCACAGCTTTCTGAATAAAAGTGCCCCAAGGAGGAGAGCCTCGGAACTCAAGGTCACTGGCACAGAGAACATTATAAACTGGTAGTGTGTGGGTGACACAGCCCTTAGGACAGTAGGGGGCAGAGAGGACAATGGGATGTAGCAGAAACCACAGCAACCTGAATACTTGGGGAACCCGGAACATCATTTTCTTACAAAGTCTCTGAGCATCCTCAGAGCATTTCTACATGTACTTTCTATGTCCCCTTTCCCCAAGATGCTCAGCCATTCACTGAGTTTTCTTCTATCTTTCTCCACCTGCTTCATTGAATGGGAATCCCGGTTTACCTTGTTTATTAGTTTCTCTTTCTTTTATCTAAATTATCTATGCTATCATGAAAGGGAAATGCTTCTGGACTAAGGTTCAATGTGAAAAGGTCAGGGAATAAATAAGCAAACTGACTTCAGAGTCCACGGTGGCCTGTGTGTGTCCCTTCATTTGTCAGTGATTTCAGAAGCTCATCCTCTTGCCCTTCCTTCTCTTATCAGAGCTAGCTACTGAGCTGTCATAAACTTTTCTCCATAAACATATACACACAAGGTAAAACACATTAAATTATTCCTCTGAAGAATTTTTGCATTTAATAGGTAAAATGTCAAAGCCAATCAGAGGCATCTCTAATGCAGTAATTATGCAATATGAGCATTTGGGTTAATAGTGAGATACTAGAATCTAGAAGCTCTGGTTTCACAAGTCAGAGTCTAGGCCAGTGCGTTCCTAGATAGCCAGTGGTGGTTAGAGAGGTGGGCACCAGAAGATGTATACTTTCTGAGGCTAAGGATCCTCAGGGTCCTGGGAAGACTCATATGTGTTCAGTAGGTACTCCATTTATAATTACAGACCATAAATCTGTGGACTTTGTTCCTCTGGAATCATGATTGATCTTGAAGAAATTTAAGTATTCAGTAAATACCATGTATAGAAATAACCCCCCCCTTTTTTGTCAATTCCAATTGGAAACTCTGATAAAGTTGGTAACTGTTTCCATCTTTATTTCTCTATAACATGACAGCATATATAGGTCAATATTTCCTAACACTTCCAGCAGATGTGTTTTTAACTGCGCTATAAATTTTCTGAGGACTCTTAGTGCATTTTTATTCTCAAAACTGTCTTCCAGGACTTGGAGAATAAAGAGCAGTTAATTGTACAAAATACTTTCTGGGTATAGTAATGAAGTTTGGCTTCAAAGTACTTCTCTGCAGTTCCTTACGCTCATACTGACAAATGTGGGCCAAGTCTCCCTGCCCCTCCTTCCTCTCTCTTCTTCTTCTTTCTCAAGAGATTGGTGCAGAAGAGAATCATTCTGTCCTGAGATGGCCACCTTCCTCCTATGCAGACTATCATCCAGAGTTTCCTCAGATTACCCTACAGGCATATAACCCAAGCTTCATGTGCCATCAGCTGGTGCTGGTTTTAGTTGATGTAAGTGTAATTTATGTCACTTTTGAAGAGAAGAGTGGAACAAATGTGGGGCTTTTGTGACTTGAACCATGGAGTCGTTGGAGGTGGGCTCTCTTGCACTCTGGGAAGTTTGTGGTTTCAGTGACACTCACTCTCAATACATACCTTGGCTCTGACATGACAGTCAATTCTCACAAGGAACTGAAAGGAAAGGAAAACTT